TGGACTGCTGGACGAGCTGCTGGGCCAAGGGGTGCTGAGCCTCGAGGAGGTGGACGAGGTGCACGATAGATACACAGTGCGTGCCGACAAGGCCCGCTGCCTCATCGACAGCGTGCGCCTGAAGGGCCCCAGGGCCAGCCAGATCTTCATCAGCAGCCTCAGGAAGCGTGATGGCACCTTGGCGGAACAGCTGGGTCTGGCCACTGAGTCGGGTGAGAGATGCGGGGCCGTGGTCTGCCCCCGCCCATGCTGGGGCTCCCGGCGCACCTCTGGTGGGATGCTGGAGTGGGGCCTGGCCCTGGCGAGTGTCCAGGGCGTGAAGACAAGAGGCAGTTGGGCATCCCCGGTGTCACTGCTCTGTGGCACTGAGTCCCTCTTGCCATGCAGCAACGACAGGGCTCTCAGGAGTGGCCATTCCCCGTGGGGCTGAACAGGGACCCCCCAAAAGAGGCAGAGCCCAGCTCTGCTTGTCTGTCCATGCCCTGCAACAGTCCCCTCTTGCTTCAGGCGCTTCCCAGTGTAACTCTGGAGCTTTCTGCTTGCAGGGTCCCCTGGTGCGCAGCTGGCCTCCCCCAGGACTGAGGCCCCGCCTGGCCCCCCCGTCGGCATCCAGGGCCAGCAGTGGATCCGGCAGTGCTCCCTGAGCGAGTACCAGCGCATCAGGGACACAGAGGGAGACCAGGTGCTGCAGGCAGAGGAGATGAGAGGAGGGCTGGAGTGTGGCCCAGCCGCCCAGCCGGAGCAGGCAGGGGCTTGTCGAGGGGAGCCAGGGTCTTCTCTGACCCAGGAGCAGGGCAGGAGGTGTGGGGAGATGCCCACAGGGAGATGTGGTTGCTGCACCCGTGGGCCTTCTCTGCTATTAGCTGCCTCCCAAGAAAAGCCCCCTGCACCCACCCACCGCTGAGCGCTGCCTCCCTCCATCCTCACAGATCTATCCCATCCATCTACCGCGGGAGACGCGGACCCGTAGGGCCCTGCTCATCTGCAACATTGAGTTTGAGCACTTGAGGCGGCGGGATGGGGCTGAAGTGGATGTGGAGGGGATGACGAAGCTGCTGGAAGGGCTGGGCTACGTGGTGGACATCCATCGCAACTTAACTTCCGAGGTAAAGGACTGCACAAAGCAGCTGCCACTGGCCCCGGGAGTGGTGCGGAGACCCTCCTTGTGTGCGTTGCTGATGGGGGGCTCAGGCACCACAGGGACACCTCTGTCCCCAGTGCCAGTGGGTCCTGCCCACAGCTTGTGGCTGGGGGTCCCCTCTCCACACAGCTGGTCACAGGTGGCTGATGTTCCTTCCTTGTGCTGGTTCGTAGGGGATGGCTACAGTCATGAAGGATTTTGCGGATCTCAAAGAGCACTGGACCTCTGACAGCACCTTCCTGGTCTTCATGTCCCATGGGGTCAGGGCGGGGCTCTGCGGGACCAAGAGCAGATGCGAGACCACAGACATCCTTTCCCTCGACACCATCTACGAGAAATTCAACAACAAGCGCTGCCACGCACTGCTGCGCAAACCCAAAGTAGTCATTATCCAGTCCTGCCGTGGAGGTAAGTCCCCGCTACAAGGTGCCTACGAGGCAAGTGAGCCGGCCAGGCTCTCCCGGGGCACGTGAGCCCCGAGCACAAGGTGGGGACGGGACACCCCGTCATCGCTGATGGCTGGCCCTGCCTTCTTAGGCAACGTAGGGTCTGTGATGGTGAGTGACTCCGCGGACCCTGCCATGCCCACTCCCAGCTCCGCTCACACGATCCCTGCAGGGCTGGAAGATGACGCAATCTGTGAAGTCCACCTGGAGAGTGATTTTGGCACTTTACATTCCTCTACGCCTGGTAAGCAGTTCCTGGAGACAGTTGTCCTGCCTGAGAGCAGGTGAGGGAGACAGGACTCCCATTGCTGATGCCATGGGTCTCCTCCTTGGGGCAGGTTGCCGGGGGTCCCCTCCATCCGGTGACCGCTTGGGCATTGCTCCAACAGCCTCTGGAGAAGGCAGTGTTCCCCAATGCCAGGGTACAAGGCTGCTCCAGAACACCCATAGATCCCTCTTAGCGGCACCAGGGCCAGAGCTTTGTGCCCCTGCCTGGCTGCCTTCCCTTGCCCTGGCTTCAGCCCTCCCCACCGGCTCTGCCTGCACTCCTTCCCCAGCCGATTTATCGCACCACAGTGGCTGGCTGGGGGAAATTGTCTTCTCCTGCTGGGTCACAGATGGCTCCAGGCTGTGCCAGCCTGGCAGCTGGCATGGCTGGGAGCATGGGAGAGCAGGGAGGCTTGGAGAAAATACTTATGTCGCTTCTGTCTTCCCTGGGATGCCATGTCCTTTTCCCATGCTGTGGGTTGGATGGGCCAAATACAATGATCTTGGAGAAGGTGCCCCAGTCTCCTGCTCCGGCACCCGGTGTTAATCACTGTTGCAGTGAGGGACACCAGTGAAATCACACTTGGCATCTTCTGTCTCCCCAGATACTGTCTCCTGGAGAAGCCCAGTAACAGGTTCCATTTTCATCCAGCGCCTGATAGAGCAGTTTCGAAACCATGCCTGTAACAGCGACTTACAGGAGATCTTCCGAAAGGTGAGCCTTTGTAGTTAACTGCAGGTGTGCTGGTAGATGCAGCCATGCCAATGGTCAGAAATACTTCTCAGAGCAGAGCTCGGGCCAGGGCAGGCCATTTCTCGGCAGGCCCCTCGGAAGCAGGCTCTGTCAAAATGGGGTCTGATTTGGCCTGGAAAGTCAGCTGGATCTGTGGAGGCATCGGCACCCTCCCACTTGGTGGGCATGCAAGAGCCCAGCGTGTTGGCGCAGCCCGTGGCATCCCTTGTGCCACCAGACACATGCCTGGGGATGCCCCTGGGGATGCCTCCCGACTCCCTGCACCCTTCCCATGCTGGGAACGGTGCTGCTCTCATTTCTCCCCGCTGTCTCTCTCACCCCAGGTCCAATATTCCTTTGAAAAATTCCCTCGGCAGTTGCCATCACAAGAGCGGACTACGATGCTCAGGAAGTTCTACCTCTTCCCAGGCCACTGATCTCCTGCCTGTGGTGAGTCTCTTCACCTCACACCTTTGCAGCAGCCTTTTGTCTGTGCCCCAAACCCAGTACCCAGCCAGCAAGGAGAAGTGGGGAAAAATTCCCTACGGCTCCTGAGCTCCAGACCTCGCGGCTCGGACAGGATATCCAAAGGACTTGTGTGCTGGTAGCCAGAGCTGGGCAGTGGCCTGACTCCATCCCCATCTCCCAGCTGGCTGCAGGAGAGAAAGGTGCTCAAGGAACTTGTTTCAGTAGCCCGTGTCTCGGGAGCTTCTCGTGTAATGTTCTTCACAGGTGAAAAAATAATACATGGACAGCAAAAGTCTTTGAATTGGGGGGTAACACAGCAGAAAGCTCAAGGCGAATGCAGCCCTGCTCCAGAGAGATGCACTTCTTCAGAAAAGGAAAGGACAAGAGGAAAAGCCAAGAACAGCTCTGCAGAAACACAGTGAATCTCCGAACCAGCTACTTATGCCCCCTCTGCTAGGCAATTACAAACAGACCTGCAATAAAATAGTCCTTGGTCTCCTGTCCTCCCTTCCTTTTGTGGCCTCCAAACAACCCCAAACTGAGCAAACTCTTCCCAGGGAGCAGCAGAAACACCTGGCTCTGGAGCACCAAATGCAAAGCTGGTTAATGTCCCTCTTAACTGTCCCCAGAGAGAGCCTGTCCCCAGTTGCGACAGAGACGATCTGTCACTGCCCGAGCTGCTTCTGCCCCGTCTCTGGCTTTACCTGTCGTCTAATAAAGGGATTTTCACAGTAGACGGCACCACTCCTCTGCCTTTAGCCCGCGGTGGGTTGATGGCTGTTACGGCCGGCAGTAGCTGCTGTTACGTTGCCTTCTCGGGGGACGCCGAGGAGGCGGGAGGTGAGAAATTGGAGGGAGCTCAGGGAGAAGGGGACGCCCGCCTTCGGGGCAGGCTGGGCAGACGCGCTCCAGGGGGATTTCCGTGCCTCCCCCTTGCAGGCTCGCAGCATCTCCTTGCTCAGGGGGCAGCTTCCCCCACTCCCCGATCCTCCCGCTGCCCCCGAGGTGGAGGAAGGATGTGATTTCCCCTGGGAGCCAAGAAAGATCCTCAAACCTGTATCTCACACACACTGCTCCCACAGCTCGGCGCGTCACGGGCCCAGCCCAGTTGTCACCTGCCACCAGTATCCCCGCTGGTAAGCAAGAGCCCCTTGTGCCCACTGCCGCGCTCCCTGTCTCCCACAGCCCCATCCAAACCATTTTCTGCCTTGGCATGGATTCAGCTTTATTGCACGTTCTGCAAAGTCACAGCCAGATCCACAACCAGGTGGTCTGGCAGCAGGAAAACGAGAGGGCTCTCCTGCCCCCTCCCAG